CCTCCTTTCCTCAGGATCCTAAGCTCTATCATCTCATGGTCACTGCTGCCCAAACTGCCATCCACTTCTACATCCCCCACCAATTATTTCCTGTTTGTGAGCAGCAGGTCAAGAAAACCAACCCCTAGTTGGCCACTCCAGCACTTGCACAAAGAAGTTGTCCCCAATATTCTCCAAAAATATCCTAGATTGCCTGCACACTGCTGTATTGCCCTCCCAGCAGATGTCAGGGAGAATGAAGTCCCCCATAAGAACCAGGGCCTGTGATTGGGAAACTTCTGCTGGCTGTTTGAAGAAAGCCTCATTTACCACTTCCTCCTGGTCTGGTAGTCTATAGTAGACCCCCACCACGACAGCAGCCTTGTTGCTTTCCCATGAGACTCTCAACAGCCGTATCTTCAGTTTTATTCTTCCAGTTTGGGACTTGAAGGAGATGGAAGCTCTTAACCTTGACTATACCAGAGCTCTGGTTCTGTTATAGCATACTGAACAACAGTCCGAGTTTTCATAAGGTACAATGCATTTTTGACCAAATATAAATCATAAATAAGGCTAGGATTTAGGCACCCTAATTGTTAGCAAATTACACAACAAAGGTGTGTGTGTATAATGGCTGAAGCATCAGGCTCGAGGGCTAGGATTCAGAGTGACCTAGACAAATTGGATGATTGCGCCAAAAGAAATCTCACAAGGTTCAACAAGGACAAGTGCAAAGTTCTGCACTTAGGGTGGAACAATCCCATCCACCAGCACAGGCTGGGGGCTGACTGGCTAGGCAGCAGCTCTGTAGAAAAAAACCTGGGGATTACAGTGGACAATAAGCTGAATATGAGCCAACAGTGTGCCCTTGTTGCCAAGAAGGATAATGGCATACTGGGCTGCTTTGGTAGGTGTGTTGCTAGCAAGTCAAGGGAAGTGATTATTCCTCTCTATTCAGCACTGGTGAGGCCACATCTGGAGTACTGTGTTCAGTTTTGGGGCCCCCACTACAGAAAGGATGTGGACAAATTGGGGAGAATCTAGCACAGGGCAATGTAAATAGTGAAGGGGCTGGGGCACATGACTTATGAGAAGAAGCTTAGGGAACTGGGCTTATTTAGTCTTGAGAACAAAAGACAGAGGGGATTTAATAGCAGCCTTCAACTACCTGAAGGGTGGGGAGGCGGGTGTTGAAAAAGGATGGAGATAGACTGTTCTGAGTGGTGGCAGATGACAGAACAAGGAGCAAGTCTCAAATTGCAGCAAGGGAAGTTTAGGTTGGATACTAGGAAGAATTTTCTCACTAGGAGGGTAGTAAAACACTGGAACAGCTTGCCCAGAAGGGTGGTGGATTCTCCCTTCTGGGAGATTTTTAAGACCCAGCTAGAGAAAGCCTTGGCTGGGATGATTTAGTTGGGGATGGTCCTGCTTTGACCTCCTTAGGTGCCTTCCAATTCTAATTTTCTATGATTCTATGTGGGGGGAGGGGGGGGAGGTGCAGGGATGAGTTAGTGGCAGCCATCAGGGAAAGTTTACAAAGCATGCTGGCTGCATGCCTACGGTAAGCAAATAATAATCAGCCCAAGTGCACTTCCCTGTTATGAAACATTGCCACATGGAAGCTAGTTTGGAGGACTAACGTCTTCATCCTTTTTTATAAGCTAATGTTCTGTGCTGAACCATATTTCCCAAGATTCCCATGCTTTCTCACATAATACAAGGCATATACAATAGGCTAGATCTCAATGGACTGATGCAGATTTCATTAGCTGAGAATCCACCCCGACAAACTTAAATCTATTCAATTCTACTTTCTTAATAGTCTTAACTTATGCAATTAAGAATTTGTAAGCCCTGCTACAGTGTGGCTATCACAGCAAAATATACTGTATAGCAGGGTTGTCAAAGATCTGGCCTGCAGTGCTGCTAATGGGTCTTGGAGTAAACACACATGCTACATGCTGTGTGATGGATTGACCCTGCATGCACCTTGCAGGGTGGGCGTGGGCTGCAGTGTATGGAACCAGGGCTGGCATGCACTACACATGGTGCATGCGGTTGAGGCAGAATGCACCAGACAGGCCTTGCATGCCGAGGTTGGTGTGCAGGTCCAGTCTGGCCCATGAATTGACCCTGTGCCATCCATCCGGCCAGTGGAACCTGATGAATTTGACATCCCTGCTGTATGGTGTTATTTTAGTTCTACATTGCTTACCTGCTGTAGATTGAATGGCACTCCCTCATGAACAAACACCACTGAAGACTGAGTCGAAGCATGGCTCAGCTGTTCTTTCAGTTTTGCATGCGCTTCCTGTGTGGCTGCAGGTTCCTGCACCATTCGTGTAGCAGCAGTCTCTAGAGACTCAGTGGCTTGTATAGTGTAAATAAACTCAGGAGACTGTGGCAGAGAACAGGCCATTGCTTGATCTGCTCCCACCACAAATGACGTAATATCTGAACCTACAGGAGTAAGAGGCTCCAGCTCACTGGCCTGATTTGAGGAAGGTACATCAATATTTTCAGGAGTAGCTAGAAGCCGTTGGCTTTTGTTAGGCTGTGGGGTTGAACATTGGTTCTCCACAGGTTCCACCTTCACCATCTCCAATTTGGGAGAAGAATGCATCTCATCTACAATCTGAAAGACAGCTTCTAAGTTTACTTCTGTCTTCTTGTTTTCATCAGACATACTGCATGGCCAGTTAGATGGCAAAAATTCAACTGGATATGATGACTGCATTGGAGGATTCTGTGGAAACAAATACAGTGAACTGTAATAAGGATAATATACAAAACACTGTAGGAATATTTAAAATTCTTAGTGCTGGGATTTTTTTAGGACTCTCAGGCTCTGAGAACCACAGAGCACAGCAGAGACTGTCCATCTTTTCCTTCTTTAGTTGAGTCATTACTATACTCATGATTTCTTTCTTGTTTTGGCTCCTCAGAGCAATGCTGGCACCAAAGATCAATGGTGGCATTAAAAATAATTATATGCCAATATATAAAGGTAGACTTGCAACTGCTTTAGAGCTAGCAGCTGAAATTGCACTGAGGATATCTCTGAATTAACTGCCAGAGCAGCTGTAACAAGAGGAGGTGAAAAGAATGAGGCTTTTTCACTATAAGTTTCCCATTTCCATCTGAGGTCTCCAACCCAGTACAGGAACCACAGTGTCCCATTCCTCCAACTCCCAGGATGAGAATTCGAAACTACAATGTTCCAGTAGTATAAGAGTAATGATGTAGCCATGATGGTTCAGAAATTAAATGAGAGGCAATAATTTCTGAGGGCGATATCTTTTACTGGACCAACTGCATAGTTGGGATAGCTGGACAAGCTTTCAAAGCAAGACATTCTTCTTCTCGGTGCATGAGTCCTGAAAAAATGGGCCATAAAAAGTAAAGTGGTTAACAGGTGAAACCTGATGAAGAATATCTTGCATTTGAAAGCTTGTCTAACTTTAACATGAGCTGGATAATACAGATAAGAGATAAACCTGCCCTGGAATGGCATAACTGTAAGCCACCTAAAGTGTGTTTAAAGCTAGTTTCAGGTATTAATGAGTAGATAATCCAGGGGCTAAGAGCTCCAGGAACCATCTAAAATTAGCTTATAACAAGGCCCTTACCCTTTAATTTTAGGTGGCTCCTAGAGCTCTTAATCTCTGGATTGTCCACACATTAACACCTGAAACTAGGTAGGGGGCTAGATGAAGTCCCATGACCTGGAGCTTCTTTCCTGGGGCAGTGGCAGTAGCTCCCCCAAAAGCACCTTCCCTCACTGCTCCCAGCTACCCTGAAAAGTATGACTGGCACCCCCCACATCCCAATCCCAATCCCAGGTTACTGAAACATGAGACCTTATGTATTTCTTTATTTCTTTTTAATTTTTTTTCCTACTTCTTTTTATTTTATCCTTCAGTGGCTCTCTTCCTTCATTTCACACCCCCATCCACATTTCCTTTCCACCTTCCATTTCATTACCCACCACCATCCCATTAACTTTCCACCTCCCAGCTTCATGTTCCTGCCCCCCCATACATCTCTCACCCCTCCCCACTCTATCCTGAGTCACCAGCTCTCTAATAAGAATTAACTCACTGCTATAGTTTCTAGTCCAGTCCCTGCTTGCCAGCCCTCTAGCGGTAAATCACAGCTGATTGGGAACAGTCAGAGAAGATTCTGAGCCATTATCTGGGCTCACAGGCCACACAGGGAGTTTTGGGGAGTTGTTGTGGACTGGGTAGCCACCCCACTCCATGCAACAGTACCCCAAACCTCTGTACATGAGATGGGGGCTGTGGCAGGGCAGGGAGCAGGTATGGGAGTGGGTGAGCTGGTGTGGCAGTAGTGGCAGAATTGGCGGGAAGGACCCACAGGGCAGTCCTGGTGTGGGCTCTGGGTTCCACTTTTTCCCATCATCACCAGTCATCATGGCCAGGACAGGTGAGTCCAGAGCAGATGCTGCAGGGACCCTGACCCCCATCACAAGCTGGGCTAGAACCATGGTTTTTTGTTTTGTTTTGTTTTTTTAGGAAAAATTTTCACGTCCAAAGTCAAATAAGCCAAATCAATTCCAAATCCATAAGTCATTCAAGACCCGTATGTGGCCCTGCTACCAGCAACCATCCTCCACCTTTGCCTGGGGCTTCAGATGCTTCCAGATCCAGCCCAGGGCATGGGCCCTGCCTGCTTGGTGCCCCGATCAGGCAGCAGCTCCTTCCCACTGCTGCTGCCACCAGCCCCAGCCCCATAGACACCTGCCGAGACCTGTGTGGCCAGGGCCCAGGTCCCAGACTGAGTGCACAGCCCTAGCCCCAGCCCACCCCATGCAGGAGGTTGGAGTCCCTGCAGAACCCGCTCCAGGCTCGCCTGCCCTGTCCATGATGAGTGGCGGCAGGGGGATAAAAAAGTGCGACCCAGAGCCTGCACCGGGGCTGCCCTGCAGCTCCTCTGCCACTGTTGCCACCTCCAGGTCCCCGAGTCCACACGGGGCAGGCCAAGGCTGAGGGTACGCGCTGAGCCTGGGGCTTGGGCCCTGCCCACATGGGGCCGGGGCCGATGGAAACTTGAAGGAGCCGCCACTGCCAGGGTTACCAAGAAATGGGAATCTAGCTGTGGAGCTACCTCAGCCCACTGCACACCCAGGGGTGGCAGGATGCACCATAGGCTGGATGGTGCCTGGGCCAGGTGAGAATGAGGGACCCTCCAGGGGCTGGACAGAGTCTCTCCAAAGGCCGGACCTGGCCTGCAAGCCGTATTTTACCCACCTCTGCCTCCAGGTCTGACTGCTCCAAACTCAAGCTAGCACTAACACAGACCAACATTTGAGGAGTTCAAAGTGCAACATGCGACAATGCCCTAAGAGTCACTCTCACAAAATGATAACCCTGGAGAAGTCAGCTTTTCTTTTATATTGCAGTTACCTGATCCAGAGCAAGAAGGTCATTAACTGGAACATTTGATATGTTTATTTGAGGACTAGGAAGAAAAACTTCATATTTACATTCTGCTGTTGTTGCAGGCATTTTTATAGTCAAGTTAATTTCACCAACTCAAGTACATCCACTTTGGATTCCTTAGCCCTCCTCCCCATAGCCACACAGCACTATTTTATTTTAGCTTAGTGCACTAACCTGGAAATAGTTGCAGTGGGTATAGGTAGAAGCTGTAGGACTAGCACAACCACTCAGAGGATCTATGTGGGTAGTTGGTGAGCAGCACTGTAATACAGCTGAAAATAATCCAACCAGAGAAGTTATCAAATTTCTAGAATCTTTGTACTGATTCTAGGTCCTGCCCAGACTATACATTAGTCTATAGAAGTTCATATCTACCCTACCTTCTACCCTGACTGGACAGATCAATATTGGTGCTGCAACCTGTCTTCCATAAATACAGCATTACTCCCCTAAGGAATTTAAGAATCACTTCTGTCATCTCAAATAATGCTTATTCTGTATATTTCAGATATCCAGAATCCATTGCTTTTGGTGTTAACATTTTTAGTGAAAAATTTGACTAGAAGAAGACCCCATAATACAGGCTAAAGTTTGGCCCAAGAAAGAAGCCTAAGATAAATATTCCATTAGAAATAAATCTACATAAGTAGTGTACTGAAGTGTAGCTCTACTCTGAAAAAATTATTTACAAGTGAGGTACAATGGATTCTACTTTATTGTCTCTCAATGACTATCAAATGTGCTTAGTTTACAAGTAAATATCATTTATAGACAACCAGCCCCACAAATTCTGAGGGTCAGAGTCATCCTTGGTAAAACTACAGGATACGTGTGGTCCAGAAGGCAAACTGGATTTTTGGATCTTCTTATTCTTCACTAAGTTTTATTCAGATACAAGTTACTTTCAAAAGGTTTACACAAGCATAACCACTTGGAACTAGATAAATTTCTCTGGATTTGCTGTAAAAGAGAGAATAGAATCTAGCTTAACCTTTTAATTGTGTTGGCTTTCCCAGGATAATAAGCAGTAAAATCTTGATTCATCTCTAAAGTCAACAGATATAAATGTACACAAAGCAGTAAGTCTGTTTATTAAGAAGCTATGTATCTATACAGTCAGGTTTTTCAGTGGAACTGGACCCATGAGTCCAGTTCCCGATCAGTCCTAAATGCTTCGTTTATGGCTAACCAAGTGTAACTTTTTCTTCCACATTGAAGGCTACATCTACATTACATGGTTAAAATACTATTGTACAAATAATCTAATCCCATATGCATTCTTTCTACAGTCATAGGAAATAGAGAATACTGGATTTGTTAAGAAAGTATCTCCTTACAGTGTGCAGAAGAAACAACAGTGGATAACTTAAAAGATAAAAGCACTTGGAGAACACTGGAATACAGATTTCATAAGCACCTAAGATCGTATATCAATTAGGTTCCTCCAAAAGTGAGAGGAGCAAGCTATGACATGTTTTATAGCAAGGCTGTCCAATTAGTGACCCACAGGTTGCATCTGGACTATGAGGGCTTAACACACAGCCTGAGGTAGCCAGTAAAGTTGTGGAAGAGGGTACTGCCTGCACTACCCACGTGGCAATGGCACAGGAGCCTGTCCTGCTTGCACCGCCCATGCAGCTGGAAAAGTCCCAGGTGGCCTGCACAGAATGTAGTCTGTGTGGTGTACAGCTCCCAACCACTCAGAAGTTGAACCATACAGCCCTGTATTATAGAAGAGCAGTAAGTTTTTTTCCTGAAAAAGCTGTCAGCTATTTCACTGATGGTAACATAAGCTCTCAGCTCCACATTGGTGAAGTAGCAGAGATGTAAAGAGTAGCTTACATTTCCCACAGTCTCTAATGCATCCTTTTATACAAAGGAGCTAAATTTACAGAACAATGGTGTGTTTTCAGGCTGGGCAAGATGTTTGTCTTTTAAGTTACTCCTAACCAGGCAATTTTTTTCAGAGAAAAGTTGGTATTTCTTTGAAGCAGTTTTACTACTTCTACAGGTGAAGGAAGGCACTCAGGGTTGAAAAAGCTCAGCAAGGAAAGATAACCAATAATGATTAGAAGGCACAAGTGTTTAATGTCTTTTTTTTTTTTTTGCTTTAGTCTTCACTGAAAAGGTTAACTATGATCATGTTCCTAATGTAATCAGTGGCAATACAGTAAGTGCTCAGATTCAAATAAGGACAAAACAGTTAAGAGAGTACTTCACCAATGTGGAGGCAAGAAAGAGATTGAATTTTATTAGGCTTTGCTAAATTTTAAAATCTACAATACCTGGGGAATTTGTTGAAGCAAATTTAGAGCCATTAGTGATGATCTCCGAGAACTCATGGAAGACGTGAAATTCTAAAAAATTGGGGGAAAGAGCAAGCATAGGGCCTAGCATGGCAGGAGGTACAATTGTGTGAATTAAGCATTAGATCCCATCACACCTTTACCTGCACATAGTGTGGGTCCATACAGTAGTTTTCTACCATGTAATTGGTATTTTTGAGTACTTAGTTTGCGATTGTTACTGCTGTAGTGTTGACACAAAAGTGTGCGTATGTGGACGGCACGTGCAGTAGGTCACATGCTTCCCAGGTATGTATATGTGTACCTGAGCAAACATTCTGAAAAAAAACATGAAAAAGGACCTCCCCATCTTTAGCCAAACAGCTAAATAGTTAGGGCACTCACCCAGAAAGCAGAAGATGCAGATTCAAGGCACAATCCTTGCCCAGAAGGGCTTTGAATGCATTTCTCTCCAACTTCCTAAGACCCTGCTCACTCTAACCAGCATGCCACAGATTAAACATTATCCAATCCTTTCTCCTGTTGTTTGAATGGAAGCTGTGAAAAGTTTCTGCCCAAGGGCCTGCTCACTTTCAGAACAGCATCCATCTTACAGAGCCACATACCCTCTGGTTTGCTCTCTTCCTCCTGGTCCCAGATCTCCCTCTCCTGGCTGTTCAGGAGGCCAGCTTCAAAAATGAGAGAATGAGCCAGCTAACATCTCCTATGGTGTGGTGGTTAGAGCACTGTGCTGCAAAATCAGAGATACAGATTCAAACCTTTCTTGAGAAAGAGGGACCTGGGTTAACAGCTTCCAGGTAATAGATTTCTACCTGTTTTTTTTGGAAAGTATCTATCCTGACCTATCTAAAATATAAGAAATTTCACAAATCAAACATATTGATATTTTGATACATTTATTTTTCAGCAGCCATTTTTAAAATGTGTGCAGAACTTGTACAAACATGTGTCAAAGTTACTCAGTCACTGAAAATTTAAAAATTGGAGAATGAAACCAGAATGGTAACCAAGTACCTCCATAAGCAAGACTCAATCTCAAAGGAATTTCATAAGAACATGGTAACAATACTGCAGGAAGAAGTCCCTTCACGTGCTAAGGTAAAAATAAATAAATGAGCAGATGAATTAAAGTAAAAGAGAAATAGCCCTGAGGATAAGCCAAAGCCATAGAGGCCACAAGTAGTCCGTAAAATATAGTTCATAAGATAGTGATAAATGACAAAATCAAAAATCTGGCACATCAACTTGGAAGTTAGGCATCGGCACTGAGTCACTGCATACCATTCTCAATAAAGACTTGGGCATGATAAAGGTGTAAGCAAGGAGAGTGTCTTCAATGAGCAGTGATCAAAAGTAGAGATGCACCGATATATTGGTCACATATTGGATTGGCACCAATAAAAAGGAAAATCAACATTATCAGTAATTGGCTTTTTTAGCCTGTGTAGCTGATAATGTCACCAATAAATGTTGTATGAATGTTCAGAGCCGCAGCATACATGTGGCCAGGAATGCAATCTGGCAGCTTGGAGAGCAGCATCCTGCCAGTAAGTTTGTGAGGGGGAAGGGGCATGGAGGAGGAAAGGGGTTATAGAAGGTGCAGATCAAAGCCCCTGCAGTGACAGAGTGGGGCAGAGGCAGACACTGCCCAGCCAGAGCAGTGAATGCAATCCCAGGGCTGGGAGCGGGACAGAGCCAGGGACAACTTGGGGGCGCAGAGGGGTGAGGAGGGTGGCGGTTCCCTGCAACTGCACACACGCCCAGGGGAGGCATGTGCCCCCCCCCCCAAGATTTGTGTGTAGGGTGGAGGCGTGCTGCCCGCTGTCGCCTAGGGGGCAGGGGCTAAGCCAGATTCTTCCCAGTGAGGAGACTGGGCCAGAGCTGGGTTGGGAGCTGGCAGGAGCAGGGTGGGCAGTGGCAGTGCTGGATAGGGGGACTAGGGGGAATTATGGGCTGACTGTAGCCCCCCTAAGACATCTCCTAGCACCACCTCTGCTTGGGATACTCTGCTGTCCTGCCTTCCCCTCAGGAGCCCTGCGCTAGCCACATGTCCCCTGCCTGTTCCACATCAGAGGGCTCCTGAGGGGAAGGCAGCAGAGCAGAGTGCCCTGAGCAGGGGCAGCACTAGGGGTGTGGCTTGGGGAACTATAGCCACTCCAAAATTATCTGTAGCCCCCTTTCCTAGCACTGATGCCACCACTGCCTGCCCTGCTCCTGCCAGCTCTGAGCACAGCCCCATCACCAGGAAAAGGCTGGCATAACCCCTGCCCCTGAGTTAGCAGCAGGGCTCCTCCACTCCGCACACAAATCCAAGAGGGTACATGCCTCCCATGCCTCCCCCAGGATTGCGCACAGAAGCAGGGAGCTGCCCCACCACCTTCCCACCCTCCCGCACCCCCTGGACAAGCTGCACATGGCTCCAACCAGCACCTGGCCTCGGGGTCCTATTCATCACCCTGGCTGGGCAGCACCTGGCCCCTGCCTCACTCCCTCCCTCACTGTGGGGACCTCAATCTGGCCCCCCCCATGCCCCTTCCCCTCCAAAGACTTACCAACAGGGCACTGATCTCCAAGCTGCCGGGCTGCATTCCTATTAATCAGCTATCAGATCCATATCTGCTGACATGCCTGGTTAATAATCAGCTATTGGTATCAGCCAAGAAAATCTTTATCAGTGCGCCCCTAATCAGAAGATAGCATGATCTACCAGGATGCTTTTAAGAAAACCCCAAAAAATTCCAGAGCAGGACTGCAGCTTAGGATGAGACATGGGTTCACAGCACTTTGATCGTGAGACTGAAACAGCATAGCATCCAGTGGCTGCACACACAGTTGCCACCTCCCAAGAAATCGAAGAAGATAGCACCAGTTCATAAAGCTGTTTTTTGGGAATGTGAATGGGTAAACATTAGAGGTGCACTGATACATCAGGTTTTTGGTTATAGCTGTGTTGGTCTAAGGACATA